TAAATGACGTGTGTAGGAGTATCAGACAATTTATATCCAGGTGGAACGTTCATCGCGAATTCGTGTATCGTATGCGCTGGTTTATCGTTGTTGTATGCACCCGAAGTAATGTTGCATTCTACATGAATTACAGTTACATTCATAATGTTTACAGGTTTGTCAGATGCGTACTACTTGTTCCGTTGTATTACGCGAGAGTTCGAATAACTTAATAGCGAACCGATGTTATTCGGTACGCACATTTGATCTCGCTTCTCATAGTATTCTCATTGGCTCAAAGATTCAGTATCTCTTCTGTATGAGTACTATCGTTGCCATCGTTGTCGTCGAATATATACGCGTCGTCATCATCATCATTATCTTTATCGTCAGACGTTCGTCGTAGTATGTGACGGATAGCAGCTCTCAGATACTTGTTTATACACCTCAATCCCCGTGAGAATATTGGTTGTTCCAGTTAACGTGAGAGTCCACGACATGACGTAATCGAAGATAAACGCTCAACTGAGACGACTCACACGACACATTATTAGATATATCTTTTCCTCCAATCTATTTCTCGAAGAAATCACAACTGACCACAAATACTCTGATCTAACGTTTGATAAGAGCGACGATTATACATTACGTTGCTTCCGAGATAGTGTTCGAGTTTCCTTGATGGTCTAAGATTGCCAAAACCATCGAAGTAAACGGCATTATTTCCCTTTTTCGCATAAGCAACCCAGTGTGTTCCAGCATTTTCCGAATTATCGAGATTTACGATACCGCTTTCATTACGATGTGGTTTCGTCGGTAACGCGTCACGCATAAACACACCTCTGAAGAATGGTAAACGCAAACGATACGCCGCACGACTTAACTGTTCGTTCGTTGTGATACCGGAGAGTGGTATTTTAAGAGTCTCTAACATTTCCTTCCACGATGTTTTTTTTTATCTCTTGCCTTTCTTTTCCTCACGTTACCACCACCACGTTTGTAGGGCGCTAGATACAGTCCGCGACCTTCCGTCTGACGTCGAGCGATCGCTTACAGCTCTCGCTACGCTCGCCGCTCCACCGATCAAAGACCCGAGTGCACCCAACATTGGTAAAATCGATAGGAAATCTCCGCGTTTCGTTACCGGAAGTAGTCTCTTCCTTTCCGTTTTTTTCCTTCTTTTCATACTCATTCCTAATTTCGTTTTTGCTTTCATGGCTGCCCATACAGCGGTCGCGGCAACTTTCTCACCAAACGGCGAATCACTCGCTGTTCGCGCGCTTTTTCGGCGAGAACTCGATCGGCAATGTGACGATCGGCGAGATCGTTGCTTCGCGAATAGGCGATATCGTGTTCGCGACACGCCGCGTCTAATCGATTTATACCTCGATCACCACGCGCTAGTCTTTTCGCGAGACGAGTACTGGGTCCACAAAATTGATAACCAGGTATATGTACTTCAAACGGAAGCGCGTTTATCTCCTTGTCAAATAAATTCCATACGCAGGAATCATTCCCTTCTTCTCCTCCACGCTATCTTATTTCATACGACATATGTCGCAATTTTTGATAAGTGGTGGCGGACCGTCTATGTGTGTTCGTTGCCACGAACGATTGTAATGCTCTGTACACGAACGATAGCGTTGCACTTCAGGATCCGTTTTTAAATGTTCGGATAATCGATCTCACAGTAGCTCCGTAATTCTCAAATTTCTGTAGAAGAACAATCTTCGGTATGTATTGCAATTGCTCGGCGGTAAAATCGAGGATCCGACC